CTCAGCATTGATCAGATCCCCTCTGAGGCTTCTCTTCTGCAGCTCAGCAGCCCCAGGGCTCTCAGCCTGTCCTGGCACAGAGATGCTTCAGGCCCCTCAGCAGCTTCACAGCTTCCACTGGACTCTCTCCAGTAGTCTTTTGTGTCTCTTCAACTGGGGAGCCCAGAACTGGACCCAGTACTTCTGAGGTGACCTCACTGGGGCAAAGTAGAGGGCAGAAGAACCTCCCTCAACCTGCTGGTCACATTCTTCTTCATGCACCCCAGGAGACTATTTGCTTTCTTGGCTACAAGAGCACATTGCTGGCTCACAGTGAACTTGTCATCCACCATGCCTCTCAGGTCCTTCTCCATGGAGCTGCTTTCCAGCAGGTCAAATGTGTTGTAATTACTGTGCTTGGGGTCGAGCAATGCTGCAGGTGCCTGTCCCCAGCCAGGGTGCTCCCATCAGCACAGAAAAACAAACCCGATGGGTCCTGACACCACGACGCAGATGGGAGGAAGGTGAGATGATCAGAGCGTCACGTGCTCCTCCAACGCACCTCCCCATGCTTATTCTGGGTGGTCACATCCTGGATAAGGCTGTCCCACTGTTTCGATGTGTGCTGTGGCCGAGAAGAACAACAAAGCGGGTATGGTGACGGAAGAAAAGGCCTCTTGATTTTGCAGCAAAACTCCTGCTTGTTCTTCCTCTCAAGCCATCTGTGTACAGAAATGGTTTCTGACTGAATCTGACGTTGAAGGGCTGTTGGGAAGGCTGGCAGTGGGATGCTTCTTCTTAGCAGGGTGAAAGCACCGTAACAGTCCCAGCAGCAGGATCAAACCCAGCACCCTGCCCTTTTATGCTGGCACACGAGAGTTTCATCCTATTGTACTCAATTTTGGAAAAAAACAGTTGATTTCTGCACTACTTGAGAGGACAAAAGATTTTCTAATTGTGTAATGCTGCTTCTCTCTGTAAGAGGCATTTGCCTTGCAGCCTCCCTTCCCCTGCACATCTCTGTCCTTTCACCATTACACACTGTCACCGTTACCCCGTGCTCCTGACGAGCAGATTTTCTATTTACTGGCAAAAGATTCAGAAACGTCCATCTGGTGGATTCAACAACATGGGCTGAATAAAAATAAGTTGAACTCGAATCAGAAACCCTTCGGTTCCCTGTCTGTCGTTCAGAGGCTCCTGGGTTTTGCCAAACTGGTGCCATCCGGTCAGTCAAAGCCGTGCCACCCACGGCAGCAAGTCCTCCTCACTCCCAGAACCTTGCAGCAGACTTTGTAGCTTCCTTCTCTGCTTTGTTCCTGGCAAGGAGAATCAAAACCTTGAGGTTTACATTGTTTTTCCTTTTAACTTCTAGCAGTTAGTGTTTATACTAGAAGATGAGATCTTAATGTTGTCAAAACACAAAACAAGAAGTTGGAAGTTTTCTGACTACAGAAAGGTTTGGAAATGGTTTTCCAATGAGAGTTGTTACTCTAGTTCTTCTAAAGTGCATGTTAACAAAATGACATGAAGATATACCAAGGATTCCTATTTGTACCTGAATCACAGAATCACAGAAGAGTTTGGGTTGGTAGGGAACTGCCAAGGTCATCTAGGGAGCAGGGACATCTGCAACTAGAGCAGGTTGCTCAGAGCCCCGGCCAACCTCCCCTGGAATGGTTCCAGGGATGGGGCAGTGACCACCTCTCGGGGCAACCTGGGACAGGGGCTCACTGCCCTCAACATCAAAAAATCTCCCTTTTTTCCAATCTCAATCTCCTCATTTGAGTTTCAAACCACCCCTCCTAGTCCTGTCCCAACAGGCCCTGCTCAAAAGTCCCTCCCCAGCTTTCTGACAGGCCCCTGCAAGTCCTGTCAGGCCCCCAGAAGGTCTCCCCAGCTGGAGCCTTCTCCTCTGCAGGCTGCCCAAGCCCAACTCTCTCCTGCTGGGCTCCCAGCAGAGGGGTTCCCCCCTCGGGGCATTGCTGGGGCTCCTCTGGCCCCGCTCCAGCAGGTCCCTGTCTCTGCTGTGCTGAGGACTCCAGAGCTGCCCCAGCACTGCAGGGGGGTCTCCCCAGAGCGGGGCAGAGGGGCAGGACCCCCTCCATGCCCTGCTGCCACCAGGCAGGGGGTGCAGCCCCAGCTGCCGGGGGCTCCTGTCCAGCTCCTCACCCCCAACACCCCCAGTGCCTTCACTTCTTGGGGGTGAGAGAGTATTTTACCTGCTGTAGAGATCAGGACATCCACAATTTTTCTTTACAAAGTTAAGGACTGCCAGGATGTGCTGGCTCAGGCGTCAACCACATACCTTTGAGCAGCCCTCCTGTACTGTCCAAAACTTTAACTGGACAGAAATGTTTAAGGAAATAAAGCAAAAAACAATGAGAGTAGGAACCAGTGGAAAGGAACTCAAAATCCTGCCATTACACCTCTGTGGAGAAAGGAGGAGAAGAGCTGGCTGGGGAGGTGTGAGTGTGGTATGAAGGCACCAGAGGGAAGAAGCTCGGTCCTATATGGAGAAGCTGTAAGGAGTGGAGCAAGGAGCAACAGCTCTTGTCCTCATGAAGACAGCTTAAGAAATTTTCCTAGGTCCTGTTTAATGCCAAAACTCTTTGGGCTCACAGAGACCATTTCAGCTCAGGAGCAGTACAAACACAAAGCTTGTGTGCTCTCCTGGAGCTGCTCGGGACCCACATGCAACCCCCCAGAGCTGCCAGGCTGGGCACAGCAGGGCTGATCCTGAGACAGAGCTGAAATCCCAGCAG